CATTTGACTGCAGATCAAGAGGTCTCTGGTTCAATTCCAGATGCCCCCTGTGGGGGGCTCAGTGTGCCCTTCGGTCTCTCTGCTGTAGAGATGATCGTTGGTACTTTCATCTATTGTCTCAATATGCAAATCTATGAAATGTTGAGGAGTGTGTGCTGCAGCTGCCCAGAACCCAAAGTGCTGATCTTCACTCAGTAATTTTCAGCATTCTGTAACAACAGCCAAGCAGAATCATGAAGACTGTGATAAACAACATTTATAACATGTTTCCTGTTTCACTGCACAATAAAAGACAAGCTGTTTTCATCACAGCAGGAACATTATTAGAGTTTGTTACAGAGGCGTCACCTTTACTGTAACAGGCTGAGCTCACAGGAGTCCCAGTCGATGTCAGACTGAACTGCAACATAATCGACAGTTTTTAGGAGATGAGTTTTGTTACTGTCACTTGAGTTTGGTCTGTTTGGAGGTCACAGCTGGATCGGTGAGCTTCACAGAGCTGTCCGCCTTCAGACTCGACGGTTTCCTGGATATGAAAAAAACAGAAGAAGAAGAAAGTCAGGTGACATAAAACACTTAAAGCTAACAAAGGGAAAGCTCCAGAGCAGCAATGTCAAACTGCTTCAGTGGCCACCTCTCTCCATCACTGAGCCAGTCTCAACTTTACAGCATTTAAAACATGTTTTTAATAACTAGTTTATTTTGATGCTGCTGAGGCTTCACTGACAGGTGGATGCTGACACCAGTCGCCCTGCTACGCCTCCATGGTTGTGCCATTTGGAACAACCTGCTTTTCTTTAATATTCATCAGTGTGATGCTCAGATTACGTGTTTCTGTTTGTTCTACAGTTTATGGATGCAGTTTGCTGTGGGGAGAAGATAAGTCAGCACAACAACCTCTCATTGCTTTAACACAGCGAAGGCTACAACACCAACACTGAGGCTCTGTCCCTCTTTCACATACAGTCTATGAACTGAACTACTTAAATAGGAGGATGTTGTCTACCTGATATCTAAACTGATGAAGGAATGGAGAGTTTAAATGTTAGGTGTAAACAGCTATATCATATAACTGCAGCTGTAGCTGTGATCAGACATCCCCCTGCAGACCCTGAAGCTGAGCTCTGAGCTCCTCACAAACCTGCTGGAGTCAGCTTCCATCCTGGGGAGCACGTTTTTGTGTTTCAGCGCGGGGCGAGGCACAAAACCCAGATCTCCCGGCCTGTAGCGGGCCAGCTGGAACTGGAAACTCCAATCTGGATCCAGACTTCTTGTTCTACACAGATAAAGATGCAGGATTTCTGTCAGTCGTCGACCTGTCAGGTATTTGCAGACCATCTTAGCGAGCAGTGATTTTATTACCGGGCTGCTGCAGAGTCAGCCGTCTGCAGCTCGTTCACTTTGCCGCTGTCAGCAGCGGAGCTGGCAAATCCGTCTCTGCTTAAAAGCACCAGCATCCTCTGCATCAGCTGCTTCCACTGGTCCACCTCTGAGTCCTGCTGCAGGTGAAAACAAGACTGAAACAGTCTGATTGGCTGAGATAAAGACCTCACCTTCTTCACTGGAGCATTGAACCATCGTCATCGACAGACAAATAAAATGAATTCAGTTTTCTTGCAACAACTTTGTCTTTTACAGATAAATTCCACCTTGTCATAAATCTCCTTTTTTCATTTCTGTATTCTAAAACATAAACGTTAATGAGGCGAATACCTCGTGTGTTCTGTGTTAGCTGAAGGTTTCAGACTTTTACTTTGAAATGATGTCGCTGTCATCTTACCATCAGTGCTTGTCTGAGAGCAACAGCAGCTTCCTGAATGATGTTCTTCATCCTGCTCCTCCTCCTCCTCTCCTGTTGAAGCTCCGCCTCCAGCCGGCTGACCTGAGCTCTGTTTTTACTGCACTGTTCAGACAGAGAGGCCTGATTCTGCCTGAAAGCACAAGCAGAGGGGGGTATAGCTCAGTGGTAGAGCATTTGACTGCAGATCAAGAGGTCTCCGGTTCAAATCCGGATGCCCCCTGAGCAAATGTTATGCCACCCTGAGCTACCTGCCATCATAGTTCAGAGCAGGAGTGGGAATGTGTTTTAGATGTGTCCTTGATCCAACACAGCTGAT